TGTGTGTAGATGCAAACAATATATATACAAATCATACATATATATATAAGCATGTATATTATTTCTTATTTCATCCACAGATTTGTGTACAAATGGATTGTTTTGCGATCATGTAAATATATGATTTATTTCTTTTTATTCTCTCTATCGTAATGTCAACATCACGTTCTGAAATATGACGCACACATATATATGTGTGTGTTTGTGTGTGTAGATGTTTATATATACTATATGGATTTGGGCTTATCTATAGTGTGTGTGTGTATGTATGTGCCGCGGTCCGCTAAGATGTAGATGTCAGCCTCCAGTAGAATTAAGCTACGGAATTCTATGGGCTATCCAGCCTTGTTTCACTTGTCTCCTTATGACCTGATATTTGTTTGCACCTTTGGTAGGGTTGCGATCCGACAATGGTCAAGGCAAGTGACCAGAAAGGGAAGCTTTGTCTTTTATGGTACGACAGGCTTTTCATGTACAATACCATCAGTATGAATGTATGTAGATTTTATCATCAAATTCTCTACCCCATTCTTTCATAATTCGATCACATTTTGCTATGTCTTTTGAAGCATCGGTAAGAGTTCATATGCGTGCATGTGTATGTGTATATGTGTATATTAGTATATGTGTATTAGCGTTCGGATGTCTGTGAATGCGTGTATGTGCGCGAGTGTGCATGGATGCGTGTTATGACTGCAAATGTGTGTATATGTTCATCTTGTGAGTGCGTGTGCATGTATGTGTATGTGTGCTTGTATGTAAACATGTGCATGTATGTGTGCATTGAACGAGGGTAACTATGTTAGGGATTGTTCGCATGAGTGTGAGAGAGCACGAATGTCGTTCCTTGAAAGCATACGAGTGTTCACTTTGTGTTCGGATGTATGTGCATGCGTGTATTTTCAAGTGTGTATGTCTGCGTGTTATGATGATGTGTGCGTGAGTGTATCAATTTGTATCAATTACTCAAATAAAGTAAAATCGGAAAATAAAAGGCTAAGTTCAGGTTTTGCCTGGAGAGTGGTAGTGTACATAAATACAAACCAATGTAATTTCCTTTAACTCTTCGTATCAGATCGCAAGACACTCATGTACGTTACAAAGTTCAGTACTGAAATAAGAAAAAGAAAATGAAGGCGGCAGTGTGTTGTCCTGGCCAGTCTATTCTCTTTTCTTTGCAACTGTTTATGCTGAATTTCTAGACAGTGAAAATATTTAATTGTCTTCCTTCTAAGGTGATTCCGGAGTCCAGCTGCAGTCATGAGCAGGCGATTCGTCTCCCTGTGCGATGCTGTTGCTTTGTCTCGTTTTTAATGTTAAGCTGTGATTATTCATTTGTGCATTCAGATTGCAACTCTGGTCACAATAGATGAATGTATTTACATGTGTGGATGTATTTCTGTGAATGTATAAGTTACATTCACACACATACAAAAACACACTCATGCGGATGGATAGTACTGACCAAAGAGTACAAAGTTGCTAGTTTTTATTTGCTCAATCTCACAATAATTTCATCACCTTAAAAGATTAAGCATTCTTCATATCCTGGATGGACTTGTTAATCTGCACCTTCACGTTGGAAGCCATGGTTTTCTCCAGGATCTCTCGCAAAGCCTTCCTGAAGCCGGCGCTGTGAACGTCCTTCATATTGTTGCCGTCCAAGTTGCTTGCACTTTCAAGCAGGTCGTGACCCGATCTTGCGGTGTAGCTGGCGATGTTCTGAGGCACAAGGTTGTCCAAGTTGATCTGGATATCTGCGAACAGCTTGTCCACACGCTCTACAACCTGACCAGAAACAGTCTGGGCTGGAGCTTCTCCAACACCGGCAA